GGCACTGCAGGTCAGGCCGGTATTCAATTTGAGCGAAAGATGCATAGATGTAAAGAAATTAGATTTCCCTGACTGTGGGAAAATACCAGTTAGACAGACATTGAACCTCTACATGAAACTGAAATGATCTGGGTCTGGGTGCGTCAGAGAACAAATACTGTTGACTTATTTGGTCAGACGGACCACATTTTCTGAACATTCCTGCATTTCTTCTGACCCCTGAGCAGCAGTTTCACAGCAATATCACTTGATGTTTCATGCCACAGGCTTTCTGTGAACTGCTGTTTTACAGATACAGTCTATAATTGCTGAACCAGCACCAGTGTAATTCCACATGAATCTAGAACCTGAAAACACACAGGCACATCACTGTTGTTTGAACAAACAACAGCAGTTCATTATACCCCAATTGTTTCATTAATGCATAGGTCAATGTCACAAAAACAAGTCCAGGTCACATTTTACTCTACAATCAAAAGACATAAAAATAAGAACATATATTTTGAAAGAATGATTTAAAACATATTAGGATTGTAAAGTTTTGGTATCCTGAGACAATTTTCATGATAATTATGCAAATTATCAATACCATAATGAATCTGGATTTATATATATATATATATATATATATATATATATAAAAATCAGCTTTAGTTCACTGAAAATGTTTTCAGGATTGTTATGGTATAGTTTGGGGTCATTAAGATTTATACTGTATATATATATATATATATATATTTTTTTTTTTTTTTTTTTTTTTTTTAATTACCACAATTCTTTGTAGTAATTATTCTCAGTGGTGATTCTCATTAGATTCACATGTTTAAATTGCAGTAAAAAAAAAAAAAATAGTGCAAGTCAAGGTTTTTTAATCTGCATCAGCATAAATTAAAAGCAGTACAACAAATACTCATAAATATTTATACGTATTTATATGTATAAAAAATATTTAATTGTTTTTAGAATTACAGTACAGATTATAGTTTTTTTTATTACAGCAATACACATTTCGAGGAAAGACGTACTTAATTTGTATTCAAAAATATTGTAAAAAAAAGAAGAAGCAAAATTCACAATTTCAAAAGTAAAATATATATTTTTTATTACTAATTTTTTAATTTGGAGTGAAATATGACCTTGAAAGGTTTTGTGAGACTCTTTCTCTGACATCAAAAAGAGTTGCAAGGCCACTATTTTTAAATTGGCCAAAAGTTAAAAACATTTACATTTATGTAAATACACAAATACACAGGGAAGATGCCGAAAGTGACACAACATTTAACATTAATACGACTGTAACTGCTGTAGGATCTCATGGGTTTTCAATGCAGTGTAAAAAAAGATTTTTCAAAGTTGTAAATAAAGATATTTGGAGTATGTTGTACAAGAAAATACTATTTCAATCTAATTCAATGTGTTACTTGCTATTTCTTTGTTATTATTTACAAACACTTTCTGAGTGAAAATTGTGAAAATCCTGCAGTTCACCCCAGTGTGAGTGAAGGAGCTTGATCAAAGATAGCCATGTTGATATGAGATCCCTCAAGTGTATTTTGAAGCTGATCACAAACAGTTCCAAATCACTGGAACAGCAACAAACTCTATGGAAATCTCTTGTGTTCAAACGTTCCCAGTCTGCGGGATTGCTTTGAAAGTCAAATATGCTGTGTGTGTGTGTGAGTGTGAGAGTTTAAATATACCGTATGAACTCTAACGTGCATTACACTCCATTGTTGTGTATGCGGACTCACATGGAGTGAACGGTACTCACATGAACCCATGCGGTCCATTTAAAAAAGAGTGGCGAAAGTCACATGACCACAGCGCATGAGTCAGGGAAGAGTAAACAGGTCAGTACACTTAATCAACACTTGCTGTTTTTCAGAATGCACACACCCACATTTCATGAGTGAAGTCATTTCAAAGGAAATTTTTAGGGAAATTTATAACGCATGCGTGTAGGAAAACAAACATCATGTGACATCATGTGAAAATGAATTGTGTACTTTTTCAGATTTTTAACAAAGAATTATCTGTGTTAAAGACATAGTTCACCCAAAAATGAAAATTATGTCATCATTTACTCACTTTTTCAAAAGAAAATGCGAACTAAACAACACTTAATTGTCCCCATTGACTTCCAGTGTATAAAAAAACAATGAGACATTTCTCAAGATATCTTTTGTGTTCCACAGAAGGAAGACAGACATACTGGTTTGGAACAAACATCCTTTTCTGGATGAACTATTCCTTTACCAGATGACTCCCTTCATTGTGGGTGTGTAACATGTTTAAGTCATAACTGTGTTAGAAACAAAAGTCAGGTGATTGTGAAAAAGGAGGAGACTGTTTACAGAATAAATGAGATGGGCCTTTTAAATTGAATCTGAGGCATGTAGTAAAACAGGTTAATTTCCTTGTTGAATTAACCTTGACTTGCGAGGCTTGATGGGAAAATCAACTGTTAATACACATTAAGCACCATTTATTTTCTAGGCCTAAATATGTCATGATGTATTCTGTTTGCACTAGAGGTCAAAGAAGTGTAGAATCTTGTCATTGTTTCTGGTTTCCTCTTATGTTTTCCCATTATCCACTCTGAAAACACACGCCCACAAACAAATTAAGCATCTATAGTGGAGATTCCCTCCTGTACTAACTGGATAGCCTTTAATTCACATCTTTACACTTCGGTTCTGTCCAAAACACAGCTCAACCCCCGTGGCTTTCACAAATCTATTCAGTAGAGATGCTAGTCATTGGGTTTTGTGATGTGTGGACAGGACATCATTGTTCTCTGACTCGTTTATTGCATCTCTATTGTCTTTGGCACAGACGACACCATGATACATTTCACACATATGTGAAAAACATTTTTACATTTTTCTTAAAGAAAAAAAAATTATGACCCTAAAATATCTAGTGTAATCATTAAGTAAAAATTCTAAAAAAACTTACCTAATGATTATTTTGATTAAATAATTTAATATTAAAATATATAAAAATAATTTAATATATATATTATATATATACAGAAAACTGTCCCAAAATCCCCACAGGAAAGAAAAATAACAATGTGAATAATTTCTCCTAGACAGCAATAAAATTGAATAGAGAGTGTAGTAAATCTTAAATGTGTCTCCAGAGCTTCAGATAAGATCTCAACCGTATCTCAGTCTGCACTGCTGATGAGAATTCAAAAGTCTCTCCACAGGGTTCAATTCAACTATTGAAATGCGCCATGGGGAAAAAAGAAAATTTCTCGCGTCATACCCTCAATTTATACCTGACTGGGTCCGTGTGGTTAAAGTTCAATTATGATGTCACACACAAAAGAACAAGGAATTAATAACAAACACAGTGACCTGTCAGAGAAACACAAAAGCATTTGGCTGTTCTGTAAATACTCATTTACTTCTGCTGATGACCTCAAAATGACATATTTCTTTAAAAAAGTTTTCAAACACATATATATCAAATACAATGAACTTAAAAAGAAAATAAATTCATTTTTGAGTCATAAAGACACTTTTTATTTGTCAATGAAGAAATGTGCCTATTTCTAAAAAGGCCAAAATATTTTATATGCTTGTTTGGTTTTCTTGTAAATGTTAATAGTAACTTTATAAAACTGATTCAGTGCTTATTTTTGTTTAGTAAATAATAAATGGAAGTTATTTTCTTAAGAATTTCAGCCTTTTAATGATACTTTGTCTCATTTTCTTTTTACATTACATTTTTGTCATGATGTCCCACAACAAATGCATAATTACATGTTCACCTTAAAAGATTATTCAAAATTTATTTTTTGCATTAATTTAATTTTAATGAGCTTTAGTAATGTCACAAAAAGGTTTTATATGTTAAGATTAGTTAACGCTATAGCAAACATTAAATAACAATAAATATCACTTTTTAACAGCACTTATTGATTTTGGTTAATATTACAAATGTATAAATTACTTTTAATTTAAAGTTAATTTATACAACTGTAAGTATTATGAATAAATGAGTATAAATACAGATTTCTGGCGTGAAACTCTAGATGGCGCAGTCCGATAGGTCTAACTCAATCTGACCTAATGACATCATTATCACATGGCACAGCTGATTGGTTCTCTCCTGTATCGGTAGCCAATGAGCTCGCTGCTCAACATTCAAATATATGACTAGTGCTTGCCGTAGCAGTTGCAGCTTGCTTCAGAAACCCTCCACCTTCCCCAGCTCCACCTGTATAGATCTGCTACGGGGTGATTCATGTATACTATATGGGGGTTATTTCATGTATGTTATATTTGCAGCAGCAATATTTCTTACATGCTCACAGCAGCATGTTGTGGATGTATTGGCAGTAGCAAGTCTCGGTACTCGGTACAGCAGCAGCAGCAGCGTAGCAGATCTATTCCGCCAAGACCAAATACATTAACATTGTCATGTACATTACCATGCCAATCCCTCCGAGAGTTGTCATGACAGAAATAAACATTAAACATTAAAGATTGTTTTTCATTGTTAGTTCATGATACTTAATGCATTGGTACACTACACAAAAAAATTATGTAGAAACAATTTTCACTCAGAAATTGCTTGTAGATTTTTACAAATAATTACAAAGAAATGACAAGTAACACATTCAATGAAATGTGAAATTTTGAAGTAGAAAGATTGAAATAGTATTTTCTTGTAAAACAAACTCCAATAATCTTTGTTTTATTTACAACTTTGAAAAATATTTTTTTTACAGTGTACATTGTAAGTCGTTACCATTTCCCATATATCAACATCAGTCTAAGCTGCTGATTTGGCAATTCAAATGTAGCTGTTTTTGTTATGCCAATGAATAATATTGAAACGGATAGAGAAGGAGAAGGAGGAGACAAAGAAGGAGAGTTTGAGTGAGGAAGTCTGAGAGAAAGAGGGAGAGAGAGAGGGAGGGAGGGAGAAAGAATGCTATGATGTCACACCAGTAGTGCACTCAAATACAAAAGCAGCTGAGAGAAAGACACACACACACACACACACACACACACATGCTGCTGCCTGTTTCACTAACACAACTCCACAGCACACTTCTCCAGCTCTGAATGTGAGTACTATAGTTCACTTTTCTCTCTCTCAGCACACTTCATCAGCACTCAGCAGTCTCTTTGTCCTCATCTTTACAGCTTTTTTCATTCTCTCTTTCTCTCAATCTCTCTGTATCCTCTCTCTCTCCCATGTGCTGAAGAACTGAGGCTGTTTTGGTTAGAGTTACGGCTCCCGATCTGTCTAACGGCTGCTTTCTCTCCTGCTTTGTTTCTTATAGTTGCTCTTTTGCCAACTTCCAGAGTCTTTTGTGCTGTGAGTCTTTGTGTAAATGTCTCAGTCCCTGGCTGTCTCTATTGTCCATCCCTAATTTACCCAAATTCAAAGTATTCTCTGAGTGCATCATCACAGTTTTAACATGTTATTTCAGCTGCATTTGAACTAGTTTTATGCTCAGGTTGTTAGTTTTGCTTGAATAAACTCAGTTGTTGTGTGTACTTCTTTTATCGCTATAATTAAAAAGCACAGATGTTTATTAATTTATTGCTGCTTTGTTTGTTTTGAATGGCTTCATTAAGTTGTTTGGTGAAGAAACTGACCTGGTGCATGATTGGTTTTGAATAGAGAGGCTCTTTGTTTGAGGAATGGTAGTGCAATAGGATTATTTTCTGGCTGAGAGAAATAAAGAAAAAAAGAGAGAGTTAAGGACTGAAATGCTGTAGTAATCTGTGTAATCTGTGTAACAGCAACAGGGATGGAGCTACTGAATGAGAAAACTAAATAAAGTGAATGAGGGAGAGAAATATAGATGCTCATTTAGCCAGTCAACAGAGAGAGGAAAATCACACAGCTCTGGAATAAAACAGACTGCTATTGTCAACACAACTGAACAGAAGTCTGGATCAAACCATAAAACATCAAAATTTACAGCTGCTTAGAGGAACGTTTGTCCCAACAGTCTCCTTTAACCCCCACAGGAGAGAAAATCATAAAGAGAATCACTGTAATATAACAATTGCTTCTTCTAGACAGTAATGAGATTAAGTAGAAAGTGTGATTATCTCAGATGTATCTCCTTAAGCTTCAGATAAGATCTCAACAGTATCTCAAAATGTACGCATGACAAGAATCAATGTTCAAAAGCTTCTCCATAGGGTTCAATTCAACTATTGAAATGTGTCATCTGAAAAAAAAAGATAAATTTTCACTTCATGTGCTCAGTTTATACCTGACAGGGTTCCCACTCGTTCATGAACACCAGATTCTCTTGTACATGTGCAAATCTGCAAAAAAATATGAAGAAAATAAATTTAAAAAATTCGACTTTCTATTTGCTTTTGAACTGTAAACGCTTTTCACTAAGCTGTTTTTCCATTTTTTTCAAGTTCTACATTTATGCCTTAACTTTGACATTTCTGTATTGCATTCGTTTTTAATATTTCTCATGGGGATTTAATCATTTTTGACTTCTTTGAGTTAAATCTCTTTTTTTCTTTTTTTTTGGCTCATTTCATCCGTAAAAAAATAACCTGCCTAATAATTCTGCACACCTTAATAAGGAGTTTTTCATTTCTAGCCTTCATGGACAATTATATACAGTATCACTTCTAAATGATTAAATACAAAAATAATAGTAGTTATTAAGATTGATGTGGTTTGGAATTGGTAAAATGTGCAACTGTCCGGCTCAGGGCTCTAGGCTGCGCGTCAACACACACGGTTTTTTTTTCGCGCTCCCCCATCTCCACCCCCAATCACTAGTGCCGCTTGTTCGGTCTTTGACAGAACATATAGGACAATTTTTTAAATAGCGCCATAAACAACATTTATTTCAAATTTAATTCAAGCACTTTCAAGGACCTATGTTTGTTTTCAAGTACTTTCCAGGCCTTGAATCCATATGTCTGAAATTCAAGTACTTTCAAGCACTTTCAAGAAGTGTGGGAACCCTGACCTGAATGTGTTCACAGCTCATTTATGGTGTCACAAACAGGCATTCTGTCACAACACTCATTGACTTCTGCTTGTCAATACCAAGAAATGTTCTTATAGAGTTACTGTATTTGACTTTCACAAAAAAGTTCAAAATAGGTTATATTTATAGGGGTTCACAGTTTCATAGTTTTCTTGTCACATGACAACAAAACCTGCATGCTGGTCTTGCCACACCAACTTTGATTTGGTGGATAAATGCTTTTGGATTATTAATCATTTTTTAAATAATGCTTTATTGCATATTTGTGAAGAAATAATAAGACAATGACAAACTACTTATGCCAACATATCAGACTTTCTTAAAGAGACAATTTTTAAAGTCTACAGACAGATATAGCAACTAGATAACTGTATATATATATATACATACACACACACACACACACGCTGGGACAAAAAAAAAAGAAAAGTCTTAATTTATTCTCATTGCTGTTTAACAACTGAGATAAGTATTATCATAGTCTTATATCTTATTATGAATTTCTTATCAAGATGTTCCAAGAAAAATTCTCAAAAACATCTAAGAGCTTCATTGAGCCTCCTAAGCTATGAAAGAGCAATTAAACTGCTCTCTGCTCTCTTTAGAAAGAGGAAATTGGAGTGGGAAGCTTTGTTGTTTTACAAGTGAAATCAGGATTATTTAATGCAAAGATATAAAGGAGTCGCCCATAAAGAGGGGCTGAACAAAAATGGCAACAGATGCTGTAATGGATCTTTCTTATTTATTTTTAATTTTTTTACCTCCTCCCATTTCTCTCTCTCTTTTAGGCTGGAATCACATGGCCAGAGTGTGGGACAGAAACGAACTCAACAGCAGGATCTAAAATGCCAATCTTTGGAAGATAGAGGGAGCTTTTGTCTGAGAAAAGGACGACAAGAATTCCAAAAAAGGAGCTGGACTCTTCAGAGAGCATTTTTGTGTACCAGCACACTTATTCAAAAGACTACAACATACATACAGACACAACATGCTGCAGCAAATCCTAGCTGACATGTACATCGACCCTGATGTACTAGAGGCCTTAAATGAGGAACAGAAGAAGATTCTGTTCTTCAAAATGAGAGAGGAGCAAGTCAGGCGCTGGAAGGAGCGGGAAGAGAAGGAGGGCAAGGAGGGGATAAAAAAAGAAAAGCTCCAGCAAAAGAAAGGTATGAACTCACACCCTTTCTAAAAATACAGCCACGTCTGTCATTCTGTCAGCATCAACAGGAGACAAAAACTATTTACAGAACAGTCAAATGTTTTTGTGTGTCTCTGAGAGGCCACAATGTTTTTGCACATTCTTAAGTGTGTGACATCTTAATTGAACCTCACAGACCCATTCGGAATAAAGTGAGCACAAGGTGAAATTTGTTCATTTGGTTCCGATGACGTGTTTCAATAGTTGAATTGAAACCAATGGAAAGACTTTTGAATAGTGATTGTAGAGAGCAGCTCAGTGAATATGGCTACATTCACACAGCAGTGCTAAATATATTTCAGTTCTGTTAGCAGAGAGAAAACCCGTGTTCACGTACACTTCAGCTATTAAAGAGCTTGACAATAGCTTTATATAACCAAAATGACTACCTGACATTTTTTTTTAGAAAACAGGAGACAAAAACTATTTACAGAACAGTCAAATGTTTTTGTGTGTCTCTGAGAGGCCACAATGTTTTTGCACATTCTTAAGTGTGTGACATCTTAATTGAACCTCACAGACCCATTCGGAATAAAGTGAGCACAAGGTGAAATTTGTTCATTTGGTTCCGATGACGTGTTTCAATAGTTGAATTGAAACCAATGGAAAGACTTTTGAATAGTGATTGTAGAGAGCAGCTCAGTGAATATGGCTACATTCACACAGCAGTGCTAAATATATTTCAGTTCTGTTAGAAGAGAGAAAACCCGTGTTCACGTACACTTCAGCTATTAAAGAGCTTGACAATAGCTTTATATAACCAAAATTACTACCTGACATTTTTTTTTAGAAATATTTTTTTTTCCGAAATAATATTAATAATAAATTAACTAAGCTTCCCAGGCTTCCTGTTTCAATTATATCTGCATTTGATTTTTTCCATTTTATAACTGATGGGGGTACATTTAGATTTTTCAATATTTTGTATACTAGTTTATGTAGTTTTTTAAATGCTGAAAAATGCTACTAAAAAAACAAAGGTGTCTTTTCAGCATCATTACTCCAGTCTTAAGTGTCACATGACTCTTCAGAAATCATTCGCTGTTCAAGAAACATTTATTATTATCAATGTTGAAAATAGTTGTGATGCGTAACATTTTTCTGGAAACCAAAAAATGTTCTTTCAAAAATAAAATCTTACTGACCACAAAATTTAAACGGTAGTGTAATTTAAATACTGACAGTGCAATACTATTTCAACACATATAGAGCCTGATTTAGTGAATTCACCCCTTGCTGTGTGAACGTAACCAATCAGAGAATGATTCACTTTTATTGAATCTCTGTGCAGATCCTTTTACGCATTTCCACCAAACTATACGAAAGCAGCTTGTTACGAGGAACTCAAAATAAATCTTTTAACACGCCCTTACTGATGTAACAAGAAAATCAATGCCTGTGTGAAACGTACCAACGTCATTTCAAGGAGAGCACATATTTTTGAGGCCAAAGGAAATTGTGACCTGAAAGAGAGAAAGAGTCACATAACAATACCGCAGAGACATGCTACAGCATGCTACAGCTACTGCAAGGGTGAAACCAGAGCCAAATTCCAGTTTTGCAACACTGACCTTGCACCACGGCACAATACTTACATGCAAATCACCTTGCAGTAGATTACTGTTTATCTCCATAGCATCAGCATTTGTAAGTAGTTGTTTGGGATCTAACCCCTGTAATGTTGTAGGGGCCCAGCCACCATAAATTCCTCTAAACATTTCAGGGCTTTCTAACACTAATGCCTGAGGATGTACTTTGCCAGAAATTTGGGCATGGAATGTTCTCAGGAAGCACAACATGCAAAAACAAAGCAACTATAAAAGAGCCATTTTTGGTTGCCCAAAGAACCTTTCAGTGAACAGTTTTAAAAGAAACATTTTTCTTAGTGTGAACAGCATTAAAAAAAAAACATTTTGTGGAATTAAAATGTTCCAGAGATTTTAAAGATTCCTTTATTTTTAAATGAAAATTTTGAAAATGTACTCACCCTTAGGCCATCCAAGATGTGGATGAGTTAGTTTCTTCATCGGAACAGAATTGGAGAAATGTAGCATTAAATCAAATGCTCACCAATGGATCCTCTGCAGTGAATGGGTGCCGTCAGAATTAGAGTCCGAACAGCTGATAAAAACATCACAATAATCCACAAGTAATCTACACCACTCCAGCCAATCAATTACATCTTGTGAATGGAAAGGTATTTGACAGTGCAATCAAACAAATAGACAGTGCAAGAAACAAGTGCAAGACAGTGCAAGAAACAAATCCATCAAGGCATTTTAACTTTTAACTCTTGCTACTGGCCAAAACAGTCCATAATTCATAATAATGCTTCAAGTCCATCCATCATCTCACGTCAAAATCCATATATTTTTAGAACTGTTTTCGCGTTATTATGAATTATGGACTGTTTTGGCCAGTAGCAAGAGTTAAAAGTTAAAATGCCTTAATGATGGATTTATTTCTTACAAACGCAGATTTTCACTTCACAAGACATTAATTGATGGACTGGAGTCGTGTGGATTACTTGTGGATTATTGTGATGTTTTATTAACTCTTATTCTGACTGAGCAAGTGATGTTCCAATGAAGCAACAAACTCATCTACACCTTGGATAGACTAAGGGTGAGTACATTTTGGGTGATTTATTCCTTTAAAAATGAAAGTTCATTAGAGAATAGAGAAAAAAGAAGTTAATAGTGTGGTTTTCAAATGACAGTATGAGGAAAACACTCAGAACAAGAGTTTGTGTAACATGGAATAAATATATTGTACATGGAATTTCAAAATATCAGATGCTCGTAACATCTGTGACAGCTTGAACCCATGTTCTGTGGCTGGGAAAAAACATTCAGTTCATGTGTTGATGACGATGGCATGCAGCTGAACAGGAACTGATGTTTACAACAGCATTTGCTCAAGGATGTAAATGTTCTTGTAAGTGTTCCTATCACTAGTGCTGGTATTCTCCCCCGGCTTCTGTTTCTCATCAAAAAAGCGTCAAGTCACATGGGCCACATGTAACACAGGGCCTTTGTGATGTATGTTCATCTCCTGCACAAAAGAGAGCTGCTGTGTCACAGTCATGCAGTTGGACTCTTATTCATTTACTTTAGTTTGACATGAACAGTCAAATCTCTTTCTGTACTCTTTTGATTTTCTCTCCGTGGACACACAACTGACAGGGTTTACAGCTCATGTCAATGGCAGCATTGTGAAACGCAGCTGTGTCTGTCTTTCTCTCGCTCAGCACTTTGTGGCTGGTTACAGTCGCCTCAGCTGATACTGTTGTGTGTCAGCTCTGCGTCAGGGGAAGTCGAGATAAATACTGTTGAAGTTTCCGTTGGCAGTTCTTTCTGTACACAAACAAACAAAACTATTGGCTACCACTGGAACTTTGTACCTGAGACTCTTTTGCTGCCCACTGGAGAGAAAAATCACCAATGAGATTTCTGTTATATGTCAAATTGTTTCTCTTTCACAGTAATCAGATTAAACGGATAGCAAATAGAGACTTTGAGGTGTGGTCAGACTAAACATAAGCCTGTGGAATTAATACAGACACTTAATATGCGTCAATGAATATGAGCAGCAGGGTGTGATGTCACACTCCAGGACAGTTTTTGAAGTATAACCCATCCTTTTTTTCCCAGACATGTCCTCTAAAGGTGCAAATCATTTAGAAGCACACATTAGTCCAACAAATCCTCAGCCAAAGGAGTGAGTTTGTGAGCTACACAACTAAATTAAACACTTTACAATAAGTCCTGGTAACATTTGTTAAGGTGTCACGAACTAATACTTGTTCATTGTATAAATATATGTTGGTGTTTCTGCATATTATGCATTTTTGACATTTAAAAAGTTGCATAAGTATTATATCTGCATTAATGATTCCTAATGCATTAACTAATGTAAGTAACATAACTGTCCTCTTTATCTTTTTGAAACACTAGTTTTTGATAAAAAATAGATTATAGATATTATATCAACATATACAATCACTACTGAAAAATTAAAGCATGCATCTCGTCTTAAACTTGTTTACACTCTTTAACGTCAAAGATCTCAACATGAACTCAACCATTTATCATCAAATTACAAATAAGACCAAATAATCAGAACATCTTCATTGCTCTATACAAGTGCTTCCCAACCTTTTTGACCCCAAGGCCCTGTCCACAACAACAGTTAAAGACCTACAACCTTTCCAGCTGTTCATGATTCACTGGATAAATATTTAGCATAAGGATTTGAACAAAATATTTTTCTCACAATATCTAGCTGATATACCTGAACTATTTTATAGAGCTTGACATATAGAAAATGTATATTCATGAAATGCATAAAAATTCTCATGCAATTATAGGATTTTATTAATTTACATGACTTTTCAAGATGTAGAAATCATACTTTTATAATTAGGCTTCCTTATATATCCAGGTTTTTCATGAACCATGGTTCTTTGAGAGAAAACAGATTCTTGAAAAGAATACTCTTAGAATAGTTTGCTGTGGGCCCCTGGTTGAGAACCACTGACCTGTTCTTCTACTATATCAACAATTGTCTCATTTATGCTTATTTTAAGGAGTTTAAATGGATAGTTCGCCCAAAATTGTAAATTCTGGAACAATATGGATTGGAACAACGTGGAGGTTAGTAAATGAAGGCGAATTTTCATTTTGGGTGAACTGTACCTTTAAGGAGAAACAAAGAGCGACTTTCAAGCTATAAAAGTCTCCTATTGGATGGTATAAACAGATTTTTTGAGGGCTTGTTTTCTTTAATTTGTAGTTTTGTTACATAAAAGAAAGGAAAAGCTCAACCATTGATAAGCTGCGCTCCTTTACAAGGTGTAGCTCTAATCTCGATGTCCGGGTGTGGGGTCATAGCGCTTTAAGAAAAATTCCTCAAAAAACACATTCATCATCATGCAGTTACATCACCTTTCAAAAACACACACCATGTCTTAAAGGGGTCATATGATGCTTTTTAAAAGATCATTATTTTGTGTATTGGTGTAACAGAATATGTTGACATGCTTTAATGTTCAAAAAACACATTATTTTTCAAATACTGTACATTATTGTAGGTCCTGTA